TAATTGTAAGTCAGAGCTTACAAAAAAAGGTTTTTGTATTAATAAGAGTATACTCATATTTTATTTCCACAAACACTTGTGAAATAGCTTCTATTCAGCAGAACACTGAAGAAGATGGCTAGCTTTCCATCAAAACTTGTATTTTTTTTTACTTGTAATATTGTGAAAGTAAAGTAGTTGCTGGAAAGTGACTAAGTAGATATGATTTCTCAGTGTCCCTCCATCCCTTATATCTAGATGTGACTATTTTTCACCAATGTAATGTGAGTGAATATGAGACCTATCACTTCTGAGCCAAGGCTTTTAAGCAATGTATGGCCTTCTCTGTGCTCCCATTTCCCTTTTGTTACTGCATAAAATAAACAGAACTGCCATATGGGGAAAACTTGGGTCCATGTATTGTATAGAGTAAGGTTGATTACCAGCCCAGAACAACCAATTACTCTGTTAAGTGTGCAAGACAAAATAAATTGTTGGGGTAAGCAATTGATACTGGATTACAGCAGGTAATGTTGCTGTGATTACTTAAAAACATCTAGGGCAGGAATAGTTTAACATATGCATGCCTATAAATGTGATACATCCCATAAACAGAATTAAAAACAAAAATCTTGTGATCATCTCAAGATGCAGAAAAGGCATTTGAGAAAACCCAGCAATCCTTTATAATTAAAACCCTCAGCAAAATCAACATAGAAGGGACATACCTCAATGTAATAAAAGCCATCTATGACAAACCCACAGCCAACATAATATTAATGGGGAAAAGTTGAAAGCATTTCCCCTGAGAACTGGAATAGAACAAGGCTGCCCATTCTCACCACTTCTATTCAACATAGTTCTGGTAGTCCTAGCCAGAGCAATCAGACAAGAAAAAAATAAATAAATAAAGAGACTTCAAATCTCTAATGAGTGAGTCAAAGTATTGCTGTTTCTTGGTGATAACGATTGTTCACCTAGAAAACCCTAATGACTCCTCAAAAAGCTACTAAAACCGATAAACAAAATCGGCAAAGTTTTAGGACACAAAATTAAAGTATACAAATCAGTAGCTCTGCTATATGCCAATAGCAACCAAGCTGAGAATCAGATCAAGAACTCAACCCCTTTTACAATAGCTGCAATAAAACAAAATAAAAATAAAATACTTAGGAATATACTTAGCCAAGGGAGTAAAAGACCTCTATAAGAAAAACCACAAAACACTGCTGAAAGAAATCATAGATGACACAAACAAATGGAAGGAAACACATCCAATGCTCATGGATGGGTAGAATCAATATTGTGAAAATCACCATACTGGCCAAAGAAATCTACAAAGTCAATGCAAATCCCATCATAATAGCACCATCATTGTTCACAGAACTAAAAAAAGCAAACCTTAAAATTCATATGGAACCAAAAGGAGCCTTTACTAAGCAAAAAGAATAAATCTGAGGCATAACATTATCTGATTTCAAAATATACTATAATAAGGCCATAGTCATCAATACAGCATGCTGCTAGTATAAAAATAGGCATATTAGCAAGGGGAGAGATGCCAGATGTCGGTGATGGGGAGGAAGGCAGCAAATCACGCTGCCATGTGTGTACCTATGCAACAACCTTCCATGTTCTTCACATGTACCCCAAAACCTAAAATGCAATAAAATAAATAAATGAAAAAAATAAGCATATTGACCAATGGGATAGAATAGAGAACCCAGAAACAAAGCCATGTATGTACAGCCAACTGACCTTTGACAAAGCAAATAAAAATATTTAAAAAAAAAATTTGTTGAATGGGGGAAGGACACCCTTTCAACAAATAATCCTGGGATAATTGACTGTCCCCATGTAGAAGAATAAAACTAAATCTTCATCTCTCACCTTATACAAAAATCGACTCAAGATAGATCAAAGACTTAAATCTAAGACCTGAAACCATAAAATTCTAGAAGATAACATCAGAAAAACCCTTCTAGAATTAGCTTGGGCAAAGACATCATGACCAAAAACCCAAAAGCAAATGCAACAAAAAACAAAGATAAATAGATAGCACTTCATTGAACTAAAAACCTTGAGGACAGCAAAAGAAACAATCAGAGTAAACAGACAACCAACAGACTGGAAGAAAATCCTCACAATCTATACATCTGACAAAGGACCAATATCCAAAATCTACAAGGAACTCAAACAAATTAGCTCGAAAAATAAACAAACAATCTCATCAAATAATGGCTAAGGACATGAACAGACAATTCTCAAAAGAAGATATACAAATGGTCAACAAACATATGAAAACATGCTCAACGTCACTAATGGTCAGGGAACTGCAAATCAAAACAACAATGCAATACCACTTTACTCCTGCGGGAACAGCCATAAAAAAACAATCAAGAAATGATAGATAATGGCGGGGATGTGGTAAAAAGGGAAAACTTTTATATTGCTGGTGGGAATGTAAACTAGTACAACCACTATGAAAAACTGTGGCAATTCCTTAAAGAACTAAAAATAGAACTACCGTTTGATTCAGCAATCCCACTACTGGTTATCTACCCACAGGAAAAGGAGTCATTATACAAAAAAGACACTTGCCTGCTCATGTTTATCGCAGCATAATTTGCAATTGCAAAAAATATGGATGCAGACCAAATGCCCATCAAAGAGTGAATAAAGAAAACATAAGATATGTGTGTGTGTGTGTGTGTGTGTGTGTGTGTGTGTGTTGGTATATGTATGTGTGTGTGAGTGTGTGTGTACAAAAACAAAGATAAATAGATGTATATAAACACACACACACACATACATATAGCACCATATATACTTACAGGTACTGAAATACTACTCAGCCATAAAAAGAAACAAAATCGCAGAATTTCAAGCAAACCATATGGAATTGGAGACTATTATTCTAAGTGAAGTAACTCAGGAAGGGGAAGCCAAACATCATAAGTTCTCACTCATAAGTGGCAGCTGACCTATAAGGATTCAGAGGCATAGGAACGATACAATGAACTTTGGGGACTTGGGGGAAAGGGCAGGAGGAGGTGAGGGATAAAACACTACACATCGGGCACAGTGTATACTGCTCAGGTGATGGGTGCACCAAAATCTCAGAAATCACCACTAAAGAACTTATTTATTTAACAAAACACCACCTGTTTTCCAAAAACTTATGGAAAAAAATTAATATTTTAAGAAAACCTTTTTCAAATTCCAGAATCCATGAAAGACTAAGTTTGATTACATTTTAAAAACTTTCATGTGTTGAAATAAAATAAAAACAAAGGCCAAAGACATAAAGAAACTAATAAAAATGAACCCCACGAATGTGTTTAACTAAAGGAGATAGACACAAGAGAGTGAAGCAGTATGATTTCATTTTCATAATTACAATAAAAGCAACACTAATGTGTATTGTTAGAAATCTCAACGAGTTGGGTTAGAATGGTAACCCAGAAGGTGATTATGGGGCACTAACAATTTTCTGCCTCTTGGTAAAATGCTGGTTATGTGGGTGTGTTCAATCTATGAAAAGTCAGAAAGTTGTACACACTTTTATGTGTATATATGAGTTATTGTATCATACTCAGGTTTTAAAATGTTAAAAAGGAACAGTAGTTTAGTTAGTGGTAGTTTACTGACTTTGGGTTTTTTCTAATGTGCTATAGTTATGTAAATATTATAAGAAGAACCTGAATAATGTTACATAGGACTTCTTTGTACTATTTTTGCAACTACTTATGACCAAAAACCCAAAAGCAAATGCAACAAAAAACAAAGATAAATAGATAGCACTTCATTGAACTAAAAACCTTGAGGACAGCAAAAGAAACAATCAGAGTAAACAGACAACCAACAGACTGGAAGAAAATCCTCACAATCTATACATCTGACAAAGGACCAATATTAATTTTAATTAATTTTAATTAATTTTAATTAATTTTAATTAATTTTAATTAATTACCTTAATTAAAAATTTATTTAAATGAAAAAAATTTTAAAAATGAAAAGAAAGCTAGTGCTATCATAGCATATTAGAGAAATTGAAATGTAAAAAAGTCAACTGACTTAACTAATATTAGTCAGTGAAAGGAAATCCAGGTCCTTTAATTATAAAGTCAAAAAGCTCTTTTGAATGCTTCCTGCTGCCTCCCAGCCAGATATTCATTCAGGTTGGTCAGGCAGAGTTATTGATGGAAGAGTTTGTTCTTTCTGAAGTCTTGAATTTAGTACCTTGCATTTGTGAGGTTGCTTTGACATTCAATATGAGAATCATATTTTTAATGATGATAATAATGCCATCACATTTGGCACTTTTTAGTTGATAACGTATTTCTTTAGATGTCTCATTTAGCCCTCGTAATAATTCTGCGTGCTATGTAGATTCCTATGTCTATGTTATAGGTGATAAAACTGAAAGTTAGATAAGTAATTTTGTCCCAGATCATATTATCCAGTTTAGAACAGTAGAATGAAGACTCCAGAAAAAAAGATTTTTAGGGAAAAGAAAAAAAAAAGAGGTAATGAGAGACTGTCTTAGTAGAATTTCCAAAATAACACATGTTTGAAAGAACCTTTGAGAATACAATCAAGAAAATGAGAGGTAATTAAAATGTTAGGTGAAAAGAAAATACTTAAAAAAAGGAAAATGGAAAAAGAATTACTTGCTTGGCTCTCCAGTGCAAAATATATGCCTAACCATAATCACGTATGCACTATTTATTCATTGAAATAAAAATAGTAATAAAACCATATAGGGCCTATGAGATAGATTAGTAGGGTAGAGTTGTAAAAGAATAAAATCCTCATCCAAAATAACAGAGACTCTGAGGATATTTCAAATTAATGAGCAAGGGGTATCAATATGTGAATGTTGTTTTTATAGAAGGAGGTAACTGCTAGACAAAATGATTAAAAAGGTTAAAAGTTGTTGCCTCTGAGGTGATGCAACTAAGGGGTGAGAAGCAGGGCTTAGGTTTTTTTGTTTAGCTCTCTATGATATTTGGGGTTAGAAGTAGGGGAGATGAGAAGAAGCCAGCAAAGGTGACAAAGAAAAAATGACTAGAGAAGCAGGATAATTAGACAAAGTGGGGTGTCCAGAAGGTTAAGTGAGGATAGTATTTCAAAGAGGTGAGAATGAACAACTGTTTCAAACGCTGTTAAGGACTTAAATGAAGACTGAATATTAAATGATCCTTACAGCATGGTAACATGAAGATTACACAGGATTTTAGATTTGGTAGTGGGAGCATGTGAAAACTCTCTCTCATCCATTTTGCTTCTTATTTCCCTGGAGAACAAGAAGCAAAATTATCAGCAGAGTGAGGCAAGGAGAAGCTGTGGATGCTTGATGAGAAAGTAAAGGTATGAAAAAACCATCTAGCAGAGAGAGAGAGAGAAAACTGCCCCTAGAAGTATGGCAGGAATTCTCTGCAGTGCTAAGGTAAAATATTGCCTGTTTCTAGCCACATGCTACTGCTTCCCAAGTTGCCACATTCAGCTTCAAACAGTAATGGTGTTTTCCTAAATTAGTTTGACAAAGTAAGAGAGGAGTAAGGGAGAATGGGTCTCTTCAGGGAATGATTATGGTGATTGGAATCTAGATTAGATAAAAAAAGACAAGAGCATGGGCAATGATACTCATGGTTAATAGGGCCTCACATATTTGTGGAATTATGGGAACTGAAGTACCAGAATAAAAGGGTAAAAAGATAGAAAATGGGAACAAGAAGAAGGGATAAGAGGTGATGTACTCAAGAAATTAACTTCAAAAAAGATGAGATAATGAGGTAGGAGGAAAGGACAATGGTCTGAATGCCACAACGGGCAACAGGTAAGAGACCTATCCACTCTTCCTCCAACATCCACAACATCCAAGTGGTACACGGGATGGATACAAGAGAAAAAATAGCCAATGTATGAGGGCTATAGGAAATTCAGTCTTCCGTGTAGATGGACAAAGTTCGGTGTACCTGTCAAAAGAAATAATGCACATATATTTTAGAATATATTTTTGAATTTAAGTATATAATATGCCACACCATTTAAAAATTATATAAATATACTTTTTTTCTAGAAATAAACACTGATGAGGATTTTTTCTGATGTTTTCTTTTTTGTAATCTATATAATTTACATACTATAGCCATATAATTATATAATCTACATACATATCTGCATATCTATGCATTTGTTCTCTGCTATTATTGGATAAGAAAATAATAAAAGGGAAACAAAACAAGTCCCAGGAAGCATTAATATTAAGTATACCATTATTTGTTTGTCATGGTTACTTTTTCTCTGAAACTCTTTCACTCAAATATTATCTCTTAGCATAAGTTTAACATATTCTTTTTGTCATTTAAATATTCACCACTCAGCGCTTTGGAAATGACTTCGTAGTATTTTGTTAGCAATAACTTTCTTTGGCTCTTTTGCCAAGTAGTTGATATCCAGATGCTTGTAAGCACAATAATGTGTTGGCATAAACTAATTATCTGCCATGTGCAACTATTTATACGTCCTCACTACATTAGTAAGATATGAAAGCGATTTACAATTTCCTTTAAATAGCCACATGCACCTGCAGGCAGTTTTGGTTCAATAATGCAGAAATGAATGATAAAGATATGTTAGGCATCTTTGTTGTTTATGGCTTTAAGAGTTCAAATGACTGCGAAGAAAACATTTCCTTTCCCTTTGCAGCGTTGCAAATACTGTGAATTTTTTTTTCCAATTCCTGGATTAATTCTGGAGTGTTATATCTTGGAAGGAAAGAAATTTAAGTTCTACAAACTCATAGAATTTAGGCTTGACAGATTATGCTATTAGTATTTTAAAAGTCATTTTGGGAGAAGTGGGAAAAACGTATGGTTCATGATTTGATGGTAGCAGAGATGAGGGGAATGCACAGAAGGACATAGCTGTTGGATTCATTCCATCAGCCCAAGTTTGAATCCTGTCTCTGCAAGGTCAACTTATTTATTAGGCATAGTAGGCATGATTTTTGGTGGGGTCTCACAAAATATTTTAATTTTAATTTCTTTTGAATTCAAGAAAAAATAATTGAATATAGTAATAATGAATATGTAATAGTAAATCCAGCCTGAGTTATAATTGTCTTCATACTTAGGCAGTTACAAGACATAATTTTTGTTTTTTAATGAAGCAATGGGCCCACAAAGACAAAAGTGCCTAGGCCTCATAAAAGTGACAATGCTGCTCTGAGTGGCTCAGTGGCCTTGAGTGAATAACTTGGAATCACTTAACCAGCTTGAACCTTTCTCTTTTAATCTTTAAAGCAGAGGTAGTATCTGAGAGGGCAGTTACAAGAAATCCATGAAACACTGTATGTAGAGTTCTCTGTAGACTGTTAGGCATAGAGTAAGGGCTTAATAAATAGGAGTTATTGTTAAGTTTTGCTAAAAATGGAGACTTTGACACTCTTACCACAGTCAAAGTGGCTTAAGGAGTTCTTTCTTTCCTTGTTTCTCTCCCTAAAATGACATTCTTCACTACATTGCTACTTGATGAAACTGATTGTAAGGTTTGGTGAATTCAATCCGAAATAGTCTTTGTTAAGATAATTGATGGCTTTATAAATTAACTGCTGATCTTAACCACTCAGGCATTTAACTGAAATATCTTTGGCTACAGATTCAGGTTCCTTGGCTTATGTAGAGCTCATGGACCTTGTGTACATTTATATTTATTTTTCATTTGAGTATTTATAAATGAGTAGTAGGAAACTGTGTTTTTATTGTTTATTTTTATTTATTTTTTTTTTACCAAATTCTTAAATTCTTAAATATGGGACTACAGAAAATCTGGCTTAATTTGAAAAAAAAAATGTTTATGAAGACTTTTACCATGTAAATTATGGTTGAATTCCTATGAAAAAAAAACTGAATGAAGAAAAATAAAGTATTAGTATCACTCTTCCCCTGGCACCCAGTAATGATAGCCAGGGTTTCAGTCACAGAAAGAACTGGAATTAGGCCAGGTGTGACGACTAGGGGTAACCCCAGCACTTTGGGAGGCTGAGGTGGGAGGATCCCTTGAGCTCAGGAGTTCAATACCAGCCTGTGCAACATAGTGAGACCTCACCTTTAAAAAACTTTTTAAAAAATTAGCTGGGTTTGGTGGCACATGCCTGTAGTCCCAGCTACTTGGTTGAGATAGGAAGATCACCTGAGTCCAGGAGTTTGAGGCCGCAGTAAGATGTGATCATACCAATGCACTCCAACCTGGGTGTCAGAGCAAGACCCTGTCTCAAAACAGCAGCAGCAACAACTACTGGAATTGTTTCCAATTTTATCTGCTGATTTTGAAAAATGACAATGAGGAGTGAGGTGACAGAGGGGCCTGAATATTATGTGGTCTGATATAAATTTTAATCTATTAGTGGGAATAAGGTGGACCTTCCCAAGGCCAGATAGTGTAATGGTATGCTTGATTTTCTATTCTTGCCATGTTATAGCCTTCCCAGCCTTGCTTATTAACTCATTAATCTTGCTTGCCCCCAGTAGAGAATCTAATGGAATATGATGATTTCTTGGCTAGTAGCATAGTCTTCTTAAGTTTTCAGCTGTCTCTTGAGCTCTAATCTATAGCCCTAAACCTGTGATATTTCTGTCAGTGAAGAGAGGGTCTTTAGGAATTATAGGAACTTAATCAAATTGAACAATCAGCCCGTTGCACAGCATCCTGCCCCAAAGTCTATTTTTCCCCTGTGTGGAATACAATCACCTTGTTGGTTGGAACCAGTTTCTGACAGACTCTGGCAACTTACAGATGGACACTAGTGAATTTTCTTTATTACATTGCTAAAATATCCACCCAAAAGGAGCTACGGTTCCATTACCATAACATGCAACTTATATACTGGTGTGATGACGCACTACGTCTGTACAGCTGGGACCCCTACACTCCCTTATCTACATGTGATGAAGTATTCTCTCCCCAGTCCATTATCCCATACAACTTCTTGTCTCTTGCCCTCAGGAAGGCACTGCTTTGGAGAATACTCTCAATGTCCTCCTGCTTAACATTCCTATTGATGAAAACTTGTGTTCTCATGGACAGCCATTTGTTACTCACCAGGTGAATTAAATGTTTTTTTACTGGTAACATTTCCATTTCAGTCCTATTCACGCTAGTGTGTGCCATTGATACTTTTCCCACAAGATTAACAAGAATTGCCTGCTGGGTTGAACCCAGAATGCAGAGTTTCAATGAGTCAAGATTGTACCACTGCAAGTTACGGTCCTAATACTGTGTAAGACTTGATTTGCATTTTCATTGTTCCTATAGATGGGATCTCTGACATTGGATTCAAAAGGTTTTGATTAAGGATTGCTTAAGATGATTTTCAGGACCAGGATTCCACTAGCCAGTTTGAAGACCCTTACAGAGGAATAAGATCAGAAAGAGAATACAGCTTCTTCATCTCTCTGTCCCATGACTTCATCATGCAGTCTTAGACCAATCAATGATCTCCACACTTCAGCCCATTGCAAGATCCTTAGAAACCTTAACCTCAAATTCCTTTAGGAGATTAATTTGAGGATTCTTCCTATCTCCTTGTTCAGTGACCTACAATTAATTCTCTTTCTCTTCTCCAACCCAGTGTCTCAGTGTATTCACCTGCTGTGTGCACCAGGTAATAAGCCTATTACAGTTATACCTTAGTGGTGATCCTACTAAGAGGTACCCCTTGTGAGCATTTGTCCATGGCTAGTGTCCCTTCCATTTTGGGGGGCCCAGAGATAATCTCAAGTAGCTGCCTGAGTCATTTAAGCCAGGGGTGATCTCTGGAGCCTTCCTTTCCAGTGGGGTGTTTTCAACCTTTGGCACATAAGCTTCCTAGCAGTAGAGAAATGGTTTCTGAGTCTGAAAGATGTCTTCTGAATCTGATGAGTACTCCCAAGTGCAATGAACACCACTTTTCCCTTCTCCTGATCTGTTGACCTTTTCAGAGGTCCTGTAACCTGTTAGAAGGTCCTGCTGACCCTTCCTAACCTAAAGGAAAAACCTTGTTTAAGGAGATTTTCTTCAACTTGAAAGACAATAAAGAGCACTATTTGAAGGAAGTACTCCTGGACGCTTTGGGTCTCAGTTCTGAAATCTGGTTTCAGAATTCTGGCTTGTAAGGCTACGTGATTGTTCTTGTTCCATTTGTGAGTGTGTAGCCCTGGAGTCACTAGCAGATGCTCAACAGTCCTGACTTGCAGGGAACCAATTTGTCTCTTTTTCTGTGTTAAAACTCAGATACTGAGAAGAGTGACTGGTATTGTGTCTTTGTTACATCTATAATTTTGTCTTGGCTGCTAGGGAAATGATAAGTTGATCCTCCTAAGCAGCCTATTGGGCTGTGTACTACAAAATTGGGAATTCTTCAACTAAGAATCCATGAACAAGAACAAAATGATTTGTATTTGTAATGTAGTGTGGTCCCAGTACTTATTAGAATATAGGGAAAGATGGCCAGAAATGGTTGCTTTAGTTACAGTACGTTTTTGCAGCTAGACTTGTTTTGTAAGAAAGAAGAAAAGCAAGATGAAGTCCCTCATGTATAATGTTTTATATTGCTTTGCCAAAATAGGTCAATAAAGAAGAGAATGTTAATCAACTGGTACTAGAGAATGTTAATAAACCTGTACTGCAGGTTAATAAACCTGTATTAGTACAGGTTTATTAACATTAACTAGAGAATATTAGTACACCTGTACTAGTAAACATTATCTCTTTACTGGAAGTAAAGAGATAATGATACTTTGCTAATTTAGGTAAACAAATAGTCAGCTCCCCTTCTCCCTCTTTATGGGGGAGTCCTGACCACATCACCAGGTCCTGAACCATAGTTCCCACCTCCAAGAGGCCAGGAATGAGGGGGTTACAGGAATGGTCTTCATTTCTCACATCTATCAGGGAACCCTTCAGCCAGGGTTCCACTTTAACTTCAGCAGGGCAA